TTTTAATCTCATTTCCACCAATGAATTATGTTTTAGAAGGGAATTGTTATAATGCATCTCATTAGTGTTTTGTGGGTTTTATAACAAACACATCTTCTAGCTTTATGTGACTCGAAGGGGCTATACCTTCATTTATCATGTTCTTTTATTTAAAAATTTATAATTAAATGGGTCAACCCAGGTTCAACCAATTTATTTAACATGTTGGGTTAAGAAAACCATAAACAGATCAACCCGCTATCAACTCATTCAGGTAATAGGTTGAGTTCGATTGAAAAATCTCAACCCATTTAATCAAAAGGTTGGATTGGGTTGAGATTTTCAACTAGTTTAATAAATGAGCTGAATCCGAACCCAACCCAACATGAACCATTGCCATCCCTAGTTTGCAAGACTTTTATTCCAACTCATACCGAAGTTCGAATCATGTTAATGTCATTTTCTTAGTCAAATGGTGCCACAATTTGAATTTTTTTTTCTCTATATTTGTTTCTTATAGCCAAATTATGTCACCGTTTAAAAAAAAATCTAAATCCATCCATGTTTTATATAATGCTAATTTCTTTTTAGATCATATTAGGTACTAAAAGAATCTTTCTTTTATACATTATTTTTTTAAATTACTATTATATAGTATATATTAAAAAATGGGACCGCTTTTTCTTATGGCACTCGGCGCAGGGACGACCCTGTATTTGAGTCAATTTCCCGCGTAATTAACATTTTGGAATGCTTTTTTTTCCTTTTTGAATGATCGATGGCATTGTTGATTACTAATCATTGTCCAAAAAATGCAGCACCACCCATCGGAGAATCCCATAATACACGTCAGACAACCATTATTAATCATGCTATTTCTATTTTAAAATCAATATCCGCAGTAAAAAAACATACGCTCACTAAGATTGTATAATTATCATATTTTTTTAATTAATAAAATGGATAAATTTGCCCTTAATTATAAAACGAGAATTTTCTTTATCTTATAATTAAAAATAGAATGAGAGAATAGAATTTACCTTTAAAAGTAGACACTTATTTTAAAAAAGATCAAAATAATAATGTAGACACATATTTTGAGACGAGAGAGAATAATATTGTTTTTATTTAAATTGTATGTTTGATTGTATGGTTTGTTATGATCTTAATTATTGAATGCAAGTATGATCGTATTACGACTTCTTCTAAAACCTAATGTAATGGATGTCGGAATTAATATGAATCGATGTCCCGAAAGGATAATGCTATATGGTTATCCCTAGTYTTACAACATGCTAATAAAATGGTATGTTTGAGTGTGTACATAAAAACAATGATTCATCAAAACTCATTTTTGAAAGTGGTGTGTTTGACTTCAAAAGTCTAACAGCATGAGGCTGAAAGCCATCTACTAGCATGTTATATTTTGGTCTTTGAACAACCTTTCGCCTCACAATCTATACTCACGAATTAATCAGACATGTAACTTTATCTATTAAAGACTCAATGAAAAACAAAACCAAACAATGCATTAGTGTGTATAGAGCTTCAGAAAACAACAAAAGCTATGTTCTTCATCTATCTCCCTTCTACATCGGTAATAGTCAATTGATTGATCTCAGATTTACTTGAAGACGTTTGCATACAATCAACTCGTGTTTTTGAAACGAAAGCCGGTTCTTTAGGATCCGGGAGGCTCTCGATATCCATCCCCAACATCAGAATTACCTCCATCATTGTTGGCCGATCTTGAGGGTCTTCTTGTATGCACAAAAGCCCAATAATCATGCATCTCAATACTTCACTCGAGTTGCATGACTCGGCTAATGCTTGATCCAGTAAATCTATTGGTGTTTTGTCTTTCCACAAGCCCCAGGCCTGAAAGAAATGCAGGCATCAAGATTAGTTTTCAAAACAAAAGGAATTAAGATGTGGGTTTAAAGAACTTACGTAGGAGATAAGGCTAAAGGCTTGTTGATTCTGATAATAACCGGTGTTTCYTTTACCACTAATAATCTCGAGTACAACTACTCCAAAGCTAAAAACATCGGATTTTACTGAAAACAAGCCGTTTAGTGCATATTCTGGAGACATATAGCCACTGCAAATGAACATCATCATAATCCATGT